CCCCCCCATATCACATAAATTTATAAGCCTAAAATAATCTCCTTTAACATAGATCTTCACGAATCATGATGATGTTATTTTACATATATTTTTGATGTATACAAACGGCAAATTATTATTTTCTTGGATTTACATCTATATTCTCCAAACCTCGTCATGTTAGAGATGTGTGATACGTACCATCGCAATATATATATTTTTGACAATATTACAAAAAAACTTTCGAAAAATGACAAACTTGCCTATCCCTAATATCAACTACTGATAGCGGCATGGTCGCGAAGTCTGTCCGAATCAATGATATGAAGACTGGTCAACGTGCAGCGAGTTAGGTTTTTGTTTCGAAATGTTAAAAATTCAATTTTCATTTGACCAACAAAATAATTCTAATAAAAATAATTAAATTAAAAAATGATAGCTGTAAATACTAGAAAATACTGACAGTAATATATCTTAATAATCTAATGATCTTACTGTTTTTACTGTATGCAGCTATAATAACTGTTCTTGTGCTGGCGTCATTTAATATTTATAATTCTTATATTTGCATTTAATTTAGGCTTATCCATTAAAATATGAGATAAATTTATATCTGTTATAAAAAATAATATAAAATGTGAAATTTTTGAGATTTTTCTTTAAATTGTGCAAGAATTAATAGTATTTAGATTCCTAGCTCAATTTACTTGAAATAAAGAGATTGGCATATGTTCTTTAAGATTTATGCTGTGTAATCACTCTCTTAATGGTAATAAATGGATGCATAAAATACAATATTGCAAACATAAAAGTGCCTAAATTTATATATATATATATATATATATAGGCACTTTTATGTTTGCAATATTGTATTTTATGCATCCATTTAGAGAGAGAGTCACGCCCAACTTTATTAAGAATAATACAGAAAATATTAGATATTTAATATATGATAACTCAAAATACAACTCGCAAAAAAAAAAAAAAAAAAAAAAAAAAAAAAAAAAAAAAAAAAAAACTAAAGCAATGAATCAACAACACTTTTAAATTTTAAAATTTAAATTTATCTAATTATAAGCAAAATTTTAAATTATAGTTGAATAGAGCATATTTTGAATGAGTGAGTGAATATTTAGTTTAAAATAATCAAGTAATTTTCAATAATAAGATTGTCTTGCATTACCTATAAAGAATGATGACTTATTCATAAATATGGTGTATTTTATTTTTTTGAGTTAAATATATCCTAGAATAATATCGAATACTGTTCAGAACACTTGTGAGATTAAAGTCAACAAAATAAAAGAGAGAATAGCTCAAAATTCAATAACATAAGTTTAAGAAAAAAATATTAGGTGTGGTTGACCACACGTTCGAACCATGGCCTGGATGCGCTCACTGTGTCTTATATTGCACTTCAGCAAGGGAGAGGGAGGGAGAGAGAGAGAGAGAGAGAGAGAGAGAGTGTGTGTGTGTTTTAGGAGAGAATAAAATAACCTCATTTGAACTATTGCCCGGACATGCAATCGTCTCACGTGAGGCTCAAGAAATTATAAATGCCCTTACTTGCCTCGTTTAATAAAGATCCTAGAAAGGTCATGTGGATTAGTATCATCTTAAAGTTAGGTGAATTGCTTTCAAAGTAAGATCAATGTTTTAAGGGGTGTTTAGTTGCAAGTACGATTTAGTGTCAGTAGGATTTAATAAATTCAACAACAATAACAACAAGCCTTTATCCCTCTAATGGGATCAGTTACTGGAATTCTTTTTCTTCATTGAGTCCCATTGAGTGTCATATTTTCATTTAATTCTAATACATTAAGATCATTTTTTACTAAGATTCAACATAAATCTTAAATCCGTTATATTCGCTATCCTCATGAATCTAGTAAATTAGAATTTAAATCGAATCAACGTCAAAATTGCAGACGTTAATGAGCAAGTTCTTACCAACTGACTATTATATTCTTGAAATACTCATCTAAGGTGTACATTAAAAAAATTAAAAGGAAAAAAGGAAAAAAGCTATAGATACATTGGATTTCATCTATCATTTTAATAATTGATCAGAAATATTGTAGTTAAATATATATCTACCTTAAAATATGAAAATATTGAACATGAAGCAACTCACGACCAGATTTTAGTCTGTTGCAGTCTATGTGGATATAATGCCACGTGAAATAAAGAGATAAATATGTTTTTAATTCTTAAGGCATTAAGATAATATCTTAGGGGGACATTTACATATAATTCCATATAAAACTTTTCTAGTTGTAAAAAAAAAAGAATTTTTCATGAGGATCACATACGTACATATGAAAAGAAAAATACCTGATACAATATCTTTTTTTATATTTAAAATTCAAGAAAAGGAAGAAAAAATCATGGGGTCAATACCAAAGGATATGACCTTTATGTTGCTTCTCTCTTAAATTGAAGGAGAAGAGAACACAAAATGACGAACTCAACATAAAATTGATCTTCTTTGACTATCTTGAAAATAGTTGGAAAGTTGTGTGAAAATTGACAATTATAATAATTAAGGGCGGTAGTCAGAAAATAGTGATTGAGATTAGGCTACGATGATCAAGCAACAATATTAGATGCCAAGAGATGCAGTCACCCAATGGGTTCATATTACAGTGGTCGAACAATAATAATTAAATTTTGATTGTTGGATGACAACCTTCTGATTGGAAAATTATAATGATCAAGCAATGTTGGCAAGGAGATGTGGTTAGGAAAAAATGATTGTCGTTGGACAAATAAAAATAGTCTAATGACTGTTGAATCTCAGAGTTCTTGAATTCAAGAGCAAGATAAAATTACATATCAACAAGATGTGAAGACAATCACTCTATTTATACAATAAGCAAGACAAAAATTACTTTGCCATGTGAGATACAAGGATCAACCCTACATAACATAATTGTCAAATCTTGAAGTTCGATGTTTTGTTATTTCAGTTATAAAAGATTAACATCCCCATTCAAACTGACAACCATTAGTTGAGTGTTTGTTTGCAACTGAGGTACTTAAATTTTTAGTTTGTATTTGGTTTTGTAAATAAGTCTGCTATTTGATTTGTAGTATTTATATGATGATTGTGATGTAGATATTCTTGATACACACCTTAATCTAGTGACAACCGATTTTCATACACTTAGTCCCTGCATGAAAAAACTAGGTTATTAACAAGAGCTATGGCTAAGATATTGTCAAAGTACAGTGTAGTTGGTAGATTTAATGAAATTTGACAGCCTTTTAGTAACCTCCTAAGCCATACAATATTTGTTGTCGCAATCGCTAAAGCCTTGTATTCCGCCTTAGCTGAAGACCAAGAAATGGTTACCTGCTTTTTAACAAACCAAGATATGAGTGTAAAGCCTAAAAGTACACATAAACCAAATGTAGATTTTCTATCTGTGAGATTCCCTCCCTAGTCTGCATATATATATATATAAGCCTTAAGTTTGAAATGTCTTTGAATATTGGTAAATTAAAATCTTATGTCCTTTGTATAGATATAATTAGGAAATCTTTTTGTTGTTGAAATCTATATTAAGTTGGTTGGTGCATGAATTCAGTCACTTGATTTACTGCATAAGATATGTTCGGTCTTGTGACAGTCAAATATTGCAGTGATCTAATTATTTTTTGGTAGAATCATGGATCATGAAAGTTTGTTTGGTCTATTTGTGCTAAAAGTTTTTGATAAGCTGTAGGATTTTTTTACATACATGGAATTATATTGCCATACAATAAGAATAAAGAATTTGTTGGGCATAAGTAGATTGATTGAAGTATAATCCATAGGGTGTTTGTATAGTAGCGATGTTAAAAAAATTTGATAT